CATACCAGACACCATGGAGGGGGGTCCTGTTTCAGATCTACCTCCAGGTCGAGGCAGTAGTTAGGTCACTGGTAGGACCTAACCCGGTGTTAAATACCCCTCGCCTGAGGCCCCAACCTCCCCCGCGTGGGTCTCCTAGGCCCACCTTCAAGCCATCAGGCACCACAATGACATCAGCAGCCCCAGCCACAGAAAGGCCGGGGACAGCTGCGAAACCACAGAGTTCCAGCAACCCTATGTGGGAGATGGTGCTAGCTGTAGTAGAAACCCTTAATCATACGACTCCCTCTCTTACTGACCCCTGTTGGCTGTGCTACCCAGGATCCCCACCCTTTTATGAGGCTATCAGGATAAATAGTTCCTATACTCTCAACAACTCTCATCCCACCTATTGGGATGGGAGACCATGGGGACTTACTCTTGCTCAGGTCTCGGCCTCTGGCACGTTTGTAGGCACAGTTCCAACATCCCAAAGCCAGTTATGCCCCTCATGCAATAACACCCCATGGGAGCAGAGGAAGTGGATTATACCCACCTTGGGCTGGTGGCTCTGTTAAAAAATGGGCCTCACCCCAGCCCTATCCACCTCTGTATTTAATGCTAATAATGAATTTTGTGTACTTGTGGCCATTCTGCCCTGTCTTTCATACCACTCTCATGAATCCCTCCTCTCCTATTGGGAGGAAAAACAGAGTCCATTCTGAAAGAAGAGGGAACCCATTACTGCCTTAACCATCGGAACTCTCTTCTCCATGGGGATAGCTGGAGCAGGGACAGGAATCACAGCCCTAGTAATACGAGAGCAAGGGCTCACGGCACTAAGGCTAGCAATCGACAGGGACTTGGAACAGCTCCAGCAGACGATGTCAGACCTGGAGCAATCTCCCACTTCCTTATCAGAGGTGGTGTTACAAAACAGAAGGGGCTTGGATCTCCTATTTTTAAAGGAGGGCGGGCTATGCGCAGCTTTAAAAGAAGAATGCTGTTTCTATGTAGACAAGACAGGGGCAGTCAGGGAATCTTTGACCAAGTTAAAAAAGGACCTGGAGAGGAGGCGCAAGGAGTATGAAAGTAATGAAAGCTGGTTCGAGTCTTGGTTTATGCATAGACCATGGTTTACAACTCTCCTCTCAGCTGTCGCAGGACCCCTAATTATCCTATTGCTATTAGTCACAATTGGTCCCTGCATAATAAATAGGCTACTAAGGTTTGTTCAGGAAAAGATTGATACTGTCCATTTTTTGGTCCTTCGCCAGAAATACCAAGCCTTAGATACTGCTGAGGAAGAGTCCTCAGTCTGATCTAGAAAAAGGGGGGAAATGTTAGGGAAAGAGGAATTTACTGCTTGTCTGAATTTACTGCTTGAATTTACTGATTTGCTGCTTGAATTTGCTTGTTTGAATTTACTGCTTGTAACCAATTAACTCAACTGGAGACACAGGCATCTGGAGATAGGGGCAAGTGCTACAGCCCCTGTAGCCTGAACTGTCTGGTCTGTGTCATGTCACGTAGGCATGTCTGCTTACACAAGATAACAGGGAAGGGCCATGCCCTCCCCGATTGAGACACCTGAAGGGAGTTGTAACATTTTTCTTGTTTTGAAGTTATTGGTTTGTGAAATGCTTGCTTTGAAACTATTGTTGTATAAACGCGGGCTTTTGTGTAAGGGTTGTGGGAGCCTATATAATCTTTACCTGAAATTGCCTCAGGGTCGATCACTCTAACCAGACCTGCGAGTCTTGGAAGGAAGGTCGGCCCCAGCTAGCTGGTTTAATAAAACTCTGCTTGATTTTTGCATCTCCATACTCGTGCATTTGTTCTCCTGAAGAGACCCACTGAGTCACGGACCCTAACATCCCTTATTTATTTATTTATCTTAGCCATTATGACTGGGGTAAAATAAAATCTTAAAGTAGTTTTAATTTGCACCTCCCTAATTACTAAGAAGCACATTTTAGGGTATTTCTTAGGCATTTTTATTTCTTCTTTTGAAAACTCTGCTCAGATCTGTAACCCATTCTCTAATTAGGTCATTTGTTTTCCTGATTCTTTGTTTATTGAATTCTTTGTATGTACTAGATATTAATCCTCTGTCAGATGTATAGTTGATGAAGATTTTCTCCCACTCTGTGGGCTTCCTTTTATTCAATTCATTGTTTCTTTTGCTGTACAGAAGCTTTTTAGTTTAATGAGGTTCCATTTGTCAATTGTTGACCTTAATTTCTGAGTGACTGAAGTCTCAGAAAGTCCTTTCTTCTGACAGCTTCAGTGTTTCAGGTTTCACATTGAGATCTTTGATTCATTTGGAGCTGACTTTTGTGCAGGGTGATAGATAAGGATCTAATTTCCTTCTACATGTGAGATCCAGTTTTTCCAGCACCATTTATTGAAGATGCTATCTTTCCTCCAGTGTATGTTCCTGACACCTTTGTGAAATATTGGGTGGTTGAAATTGCGTGCACTCATGTTTGGGTCTTCTATATTGTTCCATCAATCTATATGTCCAGTTTTTGTGTCACTATCATGCTGTTTTTATAACTAGAATTTGGTAATATCTTTTTCTCTTTTTTTGTCTTTTTGAAACAGGTCTCTCTGTAGCCTTGGCTGGCCTTAAACTCACAGAGATCTGCTACCCCTGCTTCCTGAGTTCTGGGATTAAAGGTGTGTGCCACTACAGTCACCTTATAGCTCTATGAGATCTGGTGGATAATCTCCTATAAGAAACATTAAATATTAGTCTTTTCTTTCAAACTCTAAAATTTGGAACTTGGTTTTTGACAAGGAATTCTAACCTTTTAATCCCACTACACCCTGTAAAAATTTTGTTAACGAAAAGCTCTGATGCTTTCCTGAACCTGATGGCCTGGGGCACTGGAGATCTCCCTTTGTGCAGATTCTTTTAAAACTAGCAAACCTGGAAAGACTGTGAGGTTAGACTCCAGCCAATGGGAAAAAGACATGGAGAGTGCCCCTCAGAACCCCCTCCCTATCCTCTGAGAAAAAGCTGCCCTCCACCTGACTCTGGAAATCCTCTCCATTGTTCAAACCCTTTCCGGGTACATCTGTTCATGGTTTCTATGGGAATGGTCTGGGGCAGAAGAGAAAGAACGTTCTGCCCCAGGTGAGCTAGCTCTGGAAACCAGCCCTATAATGTTCAAATCTTTTCCTGGTTATTCTGTATACGGTTTCTATAGAAATCCCTGCTTTGTGGTTTTTATGCTTAAAAGCCCCTTGTTTTTACTGCTCAAGGTTGCATGCAGTACAGCTCCCGAGACTGACTGTGTCCCCAACTGGTTGGCTCCAATAAAGCGCTTCTTTTTACTGAGACTCAGTGTCTGAGTGGTCAAATCAGGGAAATTTTTGGACCCCAGACAGACACAGTTCTCTTGTGTTAAGGATAAAAACCTAACAAGTTTGCTGGATCTGATTGACCAGACATGCACCCTTTTACAAAAGTAATTTTGAGACAGGGTTCTCCCTGTAGCCCCAGCTGGCCTGGAACTTGCTATGTAGACTAGGCTGGCCTCGGACTCACAGAGATCTGTCTGCCTCTGCCTCCCAAGTGCTGGCACTAAAGGTGTGTGCAACCACACCCAGCTGAATTTTATTTCTAACATCTTCTTTGTGCTCAGGAGTGTATTGACTACCTGGGGTCTTCTGTGATTCCATATGGATTTCGGGATTTTGTTTTCTATTTCTGTGAAAAATGTCATGGGGCTTTTGATGGGAATTGCATTGAATCTACAAATTACTTTAAGTATGAAGGTCATTTTCATTGTATTAATTCCATGAGCACGGGAGGTCTTTCAATCTTCTTGTGCCTTCCTCAGTCTCTTTTTTCAAAGATTTAGAGTTCTCATTGTAGAGGTCATTAAAGAACAAAGTTGTTATATAACTTGCCCATAGTCAGTTTTTCCCATTAGTGGGAAAAACAAATGAACTTGAAAAGAACTACAAGAAAACTGTAAACAAGTATCCTTGTTAAGAATTAGTACTCCATGCAAGCCTTTAATCCCAGCTTTTGGGAGGCAGAGTCAGGCGAATCTCTGTGAGTTCCAGGCCATCTGGGGCCACAGGGGGAGACCCTGTCTCACTTCCCCCCAAAAAAGAAGAAAAAGAATTAGTATTCCTGGCCCTCCATGTTTCTGGTGGCCCTACCTATAAACCCAGCCCTTGTAGGCCAAGACAGGAGGATCAGGAGTTGGAGGATAGCCTGGGCTATATTATGACACCTTGCCATAAAATAATAAAATAAAAACAGAAAAGTACTTCTGAAATACCGTGTAGCAGAAAGGACCCCGGAAGTGGATGAGGACTGTAATTCAGGCTCTCCAAAATTTACTGTTGTGTGAAGATTCGGGGCTGGTCACACTTAATTTCTCTCACATTTAAAATGGGGCTGATACCTCATAGGGTTTTTGTAGGGATTTAGTGAAAGGATTATTGTAAAAACGCTCTGTAATCCTAAAATGTTATACAAACGTCAGAAACGTCTTCTTCCAGCCCCACACTTGGAAAATTCCTATAAGCACGGAAAACACCACCAATCCCGACATTCAAATTCTCCGGGCTCACCTTCGCCGAGGCCAGCGCAGGGCACTATGGGATTCGTAGTCCTGGACTCGTAGTTGCGCCACCATTTTTCCCTTAGAAGGAAGAAATGGGTGTGAGACCCGGAAGTACTCCTCTCGGAGAGGCGTGCTAGTTAGGAGACGGGGGGGTCAGAGGTTGTAGGGGAAGAAGGCGTTCCTGCGCTGGCCGGGTCGCTATGTAGTGGAGGGGCAGATTCCCTCCTGCAAATTCTGGAAGGTTCTTGAGTTCGACTAGGAAAGTGGCCAAGGGATTCCTGGTCTCCGGCCTGAGGTGCCCCCCGGCTGCGCGGAGGTGCCGCGGGCGCTGCCATGTTTGGCTGCCTGGTGGCGGGGAGGCTGGTGAGGATGGGCCGGGCGGTGGCAGGAAGGTGTCAGTGATTGCGAGCCGGGCGGTGGGGCGTGCACCCTAGCCAGGAGTGGGGCAACACTTTTTGTCTTTTTTTTTTTTTTTTTTTTTTTTTTTTTTTTCTGGCCTGAGCGTATTCGATGGTGCCTGGGATGCTCGCCCAAGTCTTCAGACAGGTTGGAATGGCTGTCAGATGTCTCTGCACGTACCGAGTGTGCAGTTCGTACCCGGTACCGGGCTGAGCGTGGGGAGGACTCCTGCTGCAGCCCTCTGCGTGTTAACGCTGTTGTGGGCATTTCAGTCTTAACGCTCCTTAATCGTGAGAGGGTCATTCTCTCTGCAGTTGAGGAACTTTAGTATTTACAGCATCTATCGGGCTTAAGTTCATAACGTGATTTATAAGTAAAACTGGAATTTTTAGTCTAAAGCAAAGTGCTTCTCAAAGATTAAGTGGCTAGGGCAGTCGTGTCTGTTGGGTCTGTTTGAAAGGTCCCTAGTAAAAGTGTGCTTAACACAATTGGACATTGGCCAATAGAAACGACTGAAATTTGTGTGTGGTCTATATCCAAAATTATCAAGAGAAGGATGCAAGTGAAGGGTTTCCTTATTGCCCAAAAGACGTGACCGAAAAAGATGCCTTGCCAGAGCGATAGAATTAAATGAGATCTGCGCCTGGAATTGCAGTAGACTAATCTGGAAAGTGACTCTTTTGTTTCCTTAGAAACCGTCCAGATTTACATTTTAAGACTCTACTCCTTTCACTTGAGTTATTTTTCTTCGTTGTGCGTGTCCCACGTCCTTCCCCCTTTGTTAAATTGCATCCTCTTTGTTGAATTTTTGGTATCTGGTTGGCCGCAAGCATTCCAGCTCTACCGCTGACTTATGTCCCTAATATAAACCCCACAAAATTTGTTGTCTGTCTCCATTGACTGCGAGGCACCTGTGGAGGTGGGGAAGTGGTAATACTGTTGAGATAGCTTTGGAATGCCCCTCCTCTGGACGTAAAAAATGAAAGAAGGGATTTGAGATGAATGTGGGACTCAGGTAATAAAGCCCAGACTGGTGGCTCACACCTGTAACTCAGCTGCTAGGAAGGCCAAGGCAGGAAAATCACAAGTTGCAACAAAGAAGGGTTTGAGGGGTTGGTAGTGGTAGAATTCTTTTGTCGTTCTGGTAGCTTTGGAATGCCCCTCCTCTGGACGTAAAAAATGAAAGAAGGGATTTGAGATGAATGTGGGACTCAGGTAATAAAGCCCAGACTGGTGGCTCACACCTGTAACTCAGCTGCTAGGAAGGCCAAGGCAGGAAAATCACAAGTTGCAACAAAGAAGGGTTTGAGGGGTTGGTAGTGGTAGAATTCTTTTGTCGTTCTGGGTTTTTGTTTTGCTTTTTTTTTTTTTTTTTTTTGGATAAGGTTTCACTTTTTTGTT